GGCTTTGAATTCCAATATACTCATTTATAATTCCAAAGTTGCAGCATACGCAGGACGTGCCACATTCCAGTTGAGTATTGAAGGTAATATAGTGTGAGGCAGTCACGGCTATGATATGTAGGAAACATTGCCTCCTAAATCATGGAACCCGTTCCCCCTGGTGTTAACAGATGAGAACTCATCAGAAAGGGGACCTGAATGTAGGTAATCCATGAATCATATGTTTAGAACAGGTCAGATTAATTGCATGCCGAGAATGTCTATTTCTGCCATTTATAGCACAGAGTGACCACAGATGTCTGTTGGTGAGATGAACCACAACACAAGTGACTAAAATGTAGTGATATGAGGAGAAGGCCAATGCAATTACTATTTCCTGCTTAGACGATTAGTTCATATCTGGCCCAGGTCAAAATGACATGGACATGTCTTGAACACTACAAACTAGTCGCATTCATCCTGCAGAAACAACAGCACAGGTGAGGCTCTGCTGCCTAAATATAGGTATCTTGTATGATTTTAGGCACTGTGATGTCCTCTTGGCCTCCATCTGTTACTCCAGAAGGACATGAATCCTATAAGTAAGACTTCTATAAATCCTGGGTCATAACAGTCAGCCATGGAAGGTTGTCTTGGATGGTGCCTTAAATGGCAGTAGGTATCTACATTTAGCAGCTGAATGTCATCCACATTGTCAAAGTTGACACCCCAAAGGTATTATGAGATTGGAAAGAAAATCATAGCCTTGTCAGGATAGAGAAACATGAATTGGGATGGTTCAGAGAAGCTGGTATTTCTGTGGGCACAGAATCACAAAAAGGTTGAGAAAGGGACCTCTTGAGATCTTCTATCCAACCCCCTGCTCAGAGCAGGGTCAGCTAGAGCAGGTTGCCCAGGACTGTGTCCAGCTGGATTTTGAATATCTTTAAGCATGAAGACTCCACAACCTCTCAGGGCAACTTGTTCCAGTATTTGCCCATTCCCCCAGTAAAAACATTTGTTCTTATGTTAAAATGGAAGTTCCTGTATTTCAATTTGTGCCCGGCCCATTGCCTCTTCTCCTGTCGCTGGGTATCACTAAGAAGAGTCTGGCTTCGTGTTCTCTACTCCACCCCATCAGGTATTTGTACACATTGATATGCAAAGGCAGCAAAATAAAAATGCTTTTGTCTGGTGCCATGAACTTCTGATTGCCATAGGATACCGACAGAACAGCATCCACAGCATTTACAGGGCCAAAGCTTAAACTGAGCTTGCCAAACAAGGAAAGTTCTGTACTGCTCCTGTACCATTTTACATCAAAATGGCTTAAACTGTTGTGCAAGAGGATGTTTTGGTGTTTTTAATGCAAAGATGGTTGCAAATTACAAGGACTAGTCAGGGCAAAGGTACTTTGGTGCCTGACTGCAATTTATTTTTCAATAGGAAATTAAGGTGGAGTTAGATATCCAAACACCCTTCAAGAACCATAATCAGATTCTACTTAAAAATTTGAAACGTGATTGTAAAGTCCTCTGAAGAAAATGTTAATGCAGTTAAAACAGGTAGCCTTAATTGTAAAACAGAAACTAGTCTTAGTCCTAGGTTCGATACTAGAGTCAGCATACAAAAACCCCCAAATACTGTGTAAACTTGCACATACCTAGAATACGACTGCTTTCCTCGAACTGAGTATGTGTGTTAAATACACAAAAGCAAGATGAAACCAACATTTAGGGTGCATTCTTTCAAATAGTATTTTCTTATATTAATTTCTACAGCCTTAAAATATAGTTACTGGTCAGCTGAAAATGCTTTCTGCAACAATGACCTATTGCAAATCATCCTTTCTCTGTCATTAAATAAAGTATAGCTATGGAATACATATTCCAGGATGTTCTAGGCCAGTAAAATATCTCTCTCATGCTGAGTGAGTGGATTGTGAGATGCATTGATATATATCGCCAAAATGCTTTTCTGAACATCTACATTTTTAATATTTACCATAAATGAAGACTATAAAAAAGTATCTTAGAATCTTGTTAAGAAATGAGTAATTTTCTTTTTTTCCTACATAAAATTTAAGTTAAAAACAAAACTAGAAACATTTTTTAGCAAATGAAAAACCGATGCATTTGGAAAATGGAAATCCAAACGCAACAGCAAGTCCTTTATTGTGGTGTCTTAGAAAATAGTGACGATTGTTCAAATCACTACTGTGCCCTTCAGATAGATATCTGAACGGCTTATTTTAGGATAGGGGGCTAAGTAGCTTCTGGTAGAAAAGGAAAAGGGATTGTTGCTGCAGAGCTTGGCAGATACTAAAATCTCAGCTGGATCCCTCTTCATGTTATTCAGAAGGGCTGGGCATAGCATTTGAATCATTTGGCATCTTGAATTTGGAGGTCAGGTGGGCTGCAGTGCATTTACTCAATGCTCCGGCTATTTTGGCTCTGTGTGAAGAGGAGCAGCATGGGACCTGCATACAGAGTTTGGGATTATGCTGCTCCCAACCTGGCGTGCATCTGAGGACCAGTATGGGGGAGAAACTGGTATCTTGCTGCTACAGATACAAGAAATTTTTTTTCTGTAATGGGATGAGAGCAGGGATAATCAGCACTGATAGGCACAAAAGGTAAAATTGTGAGATTTTTCACATTTGACTTAGAGCAGACACTTTCCGCTGTATACTGGCAAATGCTGCAACAGACCTTCAACTTGTTATATCATTTTAGGGCAGAGGGTCAGACAGAAAACAAAACATTGGTGACAAGCATTAATCCAGTACTATTTAATAATAATTTAATCTGGTGGTCCAGAAAAGAATATAAAAAACTGTTGATGTTGTGATTTGAATCCATTCTGTATCAGTTTCAAAGCCACATGATTAGTTTTTGCTGCCATATACTAGAAATATGTAAATTGCCATTTTGCATAATCTCCTGAATCAGCTGCTTTTCTATACTAAAATGCAGTCATAAACATTATGCATGTCACATTACTGTAAAAAATACACAGTGAGAACATTTGGGCAAACATATTTTCTTTGAGAAATTTGGCATAAAATCTTCCCACTGCGCATCCAGTTTTTGTTATCTCTCTTTGAAGATTTTTTTTTTAATTAAAAATATTTTTTATGCTTTAATGAAAGCTCCAGGCATAAGAATAAGAAAAATAATCATACAAGTTATTCACAGTCATGATATTCAGTCCTGATCAAGTGCTGCAGTACCAAAGGATGCAATTTATTAATGATTCTTATCAAAAGAGAGGTGATATCTAATCTCATGGAATAGCTAAGGCTTAAACTGAGGTTACTGTAATTAACAACTGGGAACTACAGACACAACCTGTATGGAATGAGAACTACCCCTAATTCTAAAAGCTATCCATGAGAAAACAGGCTTTTTAGAACAATACTATGCACTATGCAAATGCCTGGGCTGGATGATTCTACCCCTACCTTTGAAAAAGTTCCCATTTTAAAAGTTTGCGATTCACAGAGTGATTTTGCTCTAAAAACTCATTGCCCACTCCAAACTGGGAGACAACTCCTAGCACAAACCAGAGAAAGTGGAGGATAACAAATCTCTGTAACAATAAACTCATCAGTTCCTCCTTCCATAGCTCAGTGAGCAAACACTGGAGCACACAGACCTCAGAAAACGAAATAGTCTTGAATTTTCCCACTAGTTTAAGCCCATTCAGCTTTTGCCACTGCAAGAAATCATGGTGCTCCACTTTCTTTAGTATTTACTCAGGTTTTGTGTTTGTTTGTTTTTGTCCATTAGCAGCAAAGGATAAACTGTACTTCCCACCTTGAAGACAGAAATTAATTTAAAATGAACTAGCCCTGAATAAAGTTCTCCTTCAAGGGTGTAGACAAGGAGATAAAGATAAATTGCAGGACTGGGCACACCAGAAGCTCCCTCGCAGTTATATTAATTCTGGCTTCTTCATTGATCTCGGGTAACTTGTGGAAGTTCTGCCCCTTAAGTCCCTACATCAGTAAAATGTGATTTATCTACTTGTCTTTCTCGAGATTTGTAGCAAGCATGAGCTGAGACTCACTGCTGCGAGCACTTGTACAAATGACTTTGCTTTCCAGTAAGCAGTTGCACAAGCAGTTTTGCCTAGGAAGACATCAAGCACCAACAGACCTCATGGTATCTCAGGATCAGGCCTTTAAGTTGCTGAGTGCGTTCAGCACTATGGATAGTAGCTAAGCACTAAAAGAAGCGTGGCCAGCAGGTCGAGGAAGGTAATTCTGCCCCTCTGCTCTGCTCTGGTGAGACCCCACCTGGAGTACTGTGTCCAGCTCTGGAGTCCTCACCATAAGAAAGACACGGACCTGTTGGGGCAGGTCCAGAAGGGGGCCATGAAAATGATCAGGGGATGGAACACCTCTCCTATAAAGAAAGGCTGAGAGAGTTGGGGTTGTTCAGCCTAGAGAAGAGAAGGCTTCGGGGAGACCTTATTGCAGCCTATCAGTACTTCAAGGGGGCTTATAAAAAAGATGGGGACAGACTTTTTAGCAGGGCCTGTTGCGACAGGACAAGGGGGAATGGCTTTAAACTAAAGGGGGGGAGATTTAGACTAGATATAAGGAAGAAATTTTTTATGCTGCGGGTGGTGAAACATTGGAACAGGTTTCCCAGAGAGGTGGTGGATGCCCCATCCCTGGAAACATTCAAGGTCAGGTTGGACGGGGCTCTGAGCAACCTGATCTAGTTGAAGATGTCCCTGCCCACGGCAGGGGGGTTGGACTAGATGACCTTTAAAGGTCCCTTCCAACCCAAACTATTCTATGATTCTATTTTGAAAGCATTTGAGATATGCAATGAGTCACGTCCCTGTTCATGTTCAAAGGAATGCTTCTCAAATTCCTTATGCGTTCCACAGAAAAGAATTAAAAAGCCATAAAGATGAAAATGGACAACAGCAAAAATCATAAAAGGACTCCAGGAAGGTGAGTGCTTCTGCAGCAGCCTTCGCTAGCATGCATGTCTTCTTGCTTTCAGGTCCCAGTCTGTGGTGGAAGCCGGCACGCTGAAGCACGAAAACCAGGGGGAAAATGAGAACACCCAGCCACTGCTGGCTCTGGACTGAGCTCCCATGCGCCCGACACACACAGATACATTAACAGACTTCCACCATACAGAAACCCACAGAGCACACAACACACAAACACACGTGTTTTGCTTGAGAACAAGTCCTTCATGTTTCTTGACCAAGTAACAACTGTCACCAGCCATCTGTCTGCGCGGCCGACGCTGAACAAAAACTGAGAAATTTCTATTGACGCAGGAGTCTGTCCACATACAAAGAATTTATTTCTTTTTTTTTTTGTTTTTTTTTTTTTTTTGACTTACGACATTAAAATATTGGAAATGATGGGACTGCATTCTCTGTTTAAAGAAACCAGGGTGTGTCAGTCAAAGTTTTCCTGAAGCCTCCAGCAGGGATGCTTGGTTTTATAGAAGCGAAGGTTAAATGTGTTTTAAAGAAATGCATCTCAAATTTAAACTTTGCACTGTAATTAGCAGTTTAGTCTGGCTCAGAGGGCAGAAATAGCAGCATCTATTGCTCAAGTTTTACAGAAGGATTTTGCATTAAGAAAAGAAAAAAAAAAAATCAGTATCAGCATAATGCCATTCAGCATGACAGTTTGTAACTGCCTCATCCATGCTGCTTACAGGGGGTCACTTATTTCAGTATCTAGCAAAAATTATTCTTAACTTTTGAAGCCCTTATAAAACTGTCAGCTAAATGGAATGAGCTGTGTGGGCAGCAGACGCGCACAATTTGAAATGCAATTATTTAATTTTAACAATGTGTTTTTCCACAGGCAACTCGGGAGCCTATTAGATGTGTGTGCATGCGTGTGCGTGCGTGTGAAGGGGAGGTGCTAGGGAGACCCATTGGACACATTCACCAGTGATTAATGGTTCAATCCAGATTGTTTCATTTAGGCCACAACAGCAAATGAAAGCTCTGCAGAGCCATTTACCCCCTTCCCTCCTGCAGTCAGTGAAAGGTGTAGCCAGAAGGGTATGCTGATTGCAGATGCGGGCCATGGTTAAAATGAAAAAGGAAAACTTAGAATTAATTATTCAGTACAAGCTTCTGCTAGGAAGAAATGTGGAAGAATAGAAGAACTGAAATGCCAAAGATCAGTTTGTTATTTCTCTATTTGCTCTAGCAGCAAATAGAGTCCCATCCCTTCATTGAAATGGAAACTGGATTAAAGAAATAAAAGAAAAATCGTTATCAAATTGCATGTGCAGTGACTTTATTTCCTAAAACGGTTACAACCACTGTACACACCTTTAGTCTTCAATTAAATTGCCATACATTGACAATTTACAAGAACAAGCGGTTGGCAACAACATATCAAAGGTAGCAGTGTAAACCATATATATAAAATGAGATGATAATGGGCACAGGAGTTTTTAATGTGCCACTGGAACATCCACTGAATTCGTAAGTGATACACTGAAGTGATTATATAGTTCAACTGGACGCGGTCAGCCCCAACAGATGGAGTAACAAAATATTGCCTTTATCTACAACAACATTTTATGGCCGCACAGGGCAGAAAGGACATCCTGCCAGATCCTGTCAACACATCTGGGATTTACCCACCAGTATTTGTACAGAATAGCCTCATTCAGACTAACCTTCTTCTGCAGCAGCATGTCATTGATACAAAGCCTGGCCTTCATGATAGAGAGCGAGTCTTTAAGGCATGTATGGTCCCAGCAAGGCAACACAGGAGTCAGAAAAAGAAGCAGAAGCTTGCAGGAGCATTACACAAATAAGACGACTGAGCCCATTTGTCTTTGGGATTTCTTCCATTCCCCCTCCCCTGGCATTACCACCTATTACAGAAAACTAGGATGTCAATTCCTGGTAACAGGACACAGCTCCCTTCCCTTCCTTGGGCTCACAAAGACTCACAGGCATTTGGGTTTGTCACAGAGAACGTGCTTAAAGCAGAAAGTAAAAAAACCAAACAGACAAAAAAAAGACAGACATTGGCTATTATACTGCAGCATTAATGAAGAAATACTTTGGTTTATAATTTTTCTCTGTTAATAACTTACCTCCACTGCCATTGAATCTTTGTGATGACCTGTTACAATCACTGTTCATTCAAGTGGGACTTGTTCTGCCCAAGAAGTGCAAATATCACTGAAATCTAGTCCTTGAGGATTAAACCTTGCAGAAAATTAGAATTATTTATTTTCTTTAGCTGTGACATGAATAAATACATATGATGCCTTGTATATAAGTGTATGATGCCGGTATTTAACTGTAGGATCTTATACGGACTCTGTGCTTGCAAGCAAGGTAACTACAGGTGGGAAGGAATCAACCTCCTAACATCGTGACGAGTACTTACAAACAGGAGACTACATCGCCCTTCTCTGTCATTTCCCTCTGTAAATAAGTCTAAAGAAAAAAAATATTTAAAAACCATTTCCATTCACTTCTTCCATTGGCATTTCCAATGTTAAAAAACTTCTTCAAGATGAAATACTGGTTGGCAAACAGGAATACCTAAAATAATATACCACTTATTCACTGCATAATTTCTGTAGTTTGCTGTACATACCCCCCCCCATGTATATAGCTAACCCAGTAACTATACCTAACAAAAAGATATGCTCTCAGCTCCTTGACAGATAGGCACAGAGTAGATTCACTTCAGTGTTGCAGGGGCTATTCATAACACAACTTGTCATATTCAAGGCACTTAAGATTTTACATGGCCTATATGTCACTACACAATTTAATAAACAGTGCTACTCTCCAGCACACACACATCTTGGGTAGATTACTTTTATCTATTTGCCAATTTTATCTATTGGCCAATCGCAATCGGAAAAGAAGAAGTATGAGCCTTCAAAGGAACAATGAAACAATCTGAAGGACGGCATGGATTTTTACAAATAAAGCTCCAAAGTTTTTACCGCTCCTTTAGTATTTACTCTGAGCTACAGAACTAAAATCCAACATTAATAAAAATATTCCTAAACCACAAATTTTGGTTTCAACAGTTCTTGATTTCTTCTTCACAAACTGTGTTTTTATTTTACAGAATTACAAAATAGTTTATAATTTGTACTGCTTGATCACTTTACAGAGACACAAAATACAGCCTCTGACTAAACAACTACCAGGAGATTTAAAAAACTTTTTTATTACGACCCCCACAATAACGAGTACCTTATTTCCAGTTTTGCACATGATTCTCCTAACGCTCTCCAAAAATATTTTTTTTCTTAAGCGTGAAACTTCTAAACCTTTTCAGCTTTCATGATTATTAACTGAGACTGTTACTTTCTTGTATATTGTGTATAGTCTCAGTGTTATTTTTGATACAGACAAAACATTAAAGCTTAATTATCATAGCTGTCTAAAACTGACTCTTGATCGGAGAGGGTTTATTAGTTTAATAGTCAAAAAGGAAATTAAAGTGCACACCTCCAGAAACTGGTTAGACTAACTTATGGTGCAATCACCATGTGTTACATGGCATTACAAGTTTTAATTACCTAGTAAAACACAAAATCTGAAAAGCATTCAGTTTATGGGAATGCAGGCTTTTATCTGTGTTTTGCTTCAGCAAACATGGTATTCTGGTCACGATACTTAGGTACCGTGATGTGGTCTCTGCAGTACAAAACCACTGAACATTAAACAAATAACATGACTGTTCAGTGTCTTTTGGACAACAAAGCCAAAGCTGGGGAGACTAAGTAACCTCAATGTCACCTTGCTTAGTGTTTGTCTCTCGCAACCCTCGGTAACGACGCCACTGCTCTTGACAAGCCCTGAGCATCCTAGCACACCTACCCACACCCACCTGGTTTTGCAGGTGAGTAGATAACAGCCAGCTATAAACATCATCAGTGCAACCTCAGGTCTCTCTTTCCTGTTAGTGTTCTTAGAAGTTAACGGTGGAGGGCCCTGCACCCTCCACCTCCCATTAAACAGTACGGACCCAAAAGACCAGTGAACCGCCTAAATATCCAACCAGTTTTCTTTCTTGAAAATAGGCCTTTTTACCATATAGTAAATTCTGCATGGCAAATACAGAGCATACTGTAAACAGTACTGGGATAAAACTACTTCAGCATTATGTCATACATTTCAAGACAAGGAAAACACCGTTAGGTCAATTAAAGGAGCATACTAGCACTCTGTAGGATGCTGGCAGCAGAAGTTAATACAAGTTAATAACCTGAAGCTCTTTGTCTGCTCTGCATTCTGGCAGGAAACAAAGTTAGACCTTGTCCTTCTGCCCAAAGCACAAGAAATTCTTCGTGTAATTTCTTCTGCTGAATGACCACCCAAGGGCAGCCTAGAAGGAGCCCCTGGAAGGAGGTGCCCCAGAGTCTGGCTGGGTAGAAAATGGATATCATAACACAAGCTTTCGTAACGATAGGAGAAACAGCAGTTCACCACATAATCCTAAGAACTGTCAAGCACTTTAATATCTGAGCCTACAGATGTCACAATTGCTCGACATCTTCCAAAATCACATTATCAAACTGAAGGTTGCCTGCTAACTAAGAAAACTATTTTGTTTTTGAAGAACACAGCTTCACTAAGCAGCTGATTATGCAAGTTTCTGTTTGCATTTCCAGGAAGGCAAGAGAAGGCCACACTTGGCAAAAATTACATCTGTTAATATATAGTGTTTTCCTTCTGCTGATAGCTAGAGATGCTGTTTTATATATATATATATATATTGTTTTTTTAAAAATAGTGGTTGATTAAAGGAGATTTGTTCCTAATTATGCTAGAAAAATACAGTTACTCGGGTAGAAAAAAATACAAAACACAGATAACCCATTCACATTATCTACAGTTGATAACGTAGGGACATGTTCTATGCCTAAAGCAGCTAATAGTACAACTGCATACTGATTTTCAAAGTTGGTCGTGTGCATATGTTTGTAAATATCTTACGTGCTGCTTCCCAGATAAAAGCCTGGGAAGTACTTCCCAGATGCAGAATCGCAAATCTTGTGCCTGAACGTGGTCGGGCAGGTGACTGACTGGTTTTGTACACATATTACAGGCATGGCAAAAACATCTGCGTGTTCCTCAGTTTGAAAATCCAGACCTATTGCTCTTTGGCTGACAAGATTTGTATTTTCCAACTTGCAGCCAGAAAAACAATACACATCAGTGCTGTATCAGTATGAAACAAAATATGGCTTCTTTTTTTTTTCCTTCTTTTTTTCCTTTTTTTAAATGAAGTCCTCTGTGATTGCAGAATGTTGTCCTTATCTCTTCTAACCCTTACAATACTTTTATTCTTCGTATGCTGGATAAATTAATCCTATTTGCATACTCCAAAGGGATTAAAGCTCTTCTGCTCCGCACATCAGAAGGAACCCCTTAAATAGCAGGAAGGGTGCGTCTCTGTTGTGCTGTTAACTCAGGGTGCCACACATCCACAATGAATATCAGGCGATAATTTTCAGCATCCTGCCATACTTCATGTTCGAAAGAGTCGTCAAAAATAAGAACTTTCCCTTCTTCCCAGGTTCTGCAACACAAAAAAGAACATGCTTTAGTGTAATACTTGAAGTGCCGTGGAGCAGGCAAGCTATATATCAGCTCTGAAGATGCCCTTTTACATACGAGAATTATTTAAACAGTATATATTGCAAAGTCAAGATTTCAGTACCTAATAGAAAGAAATTGGAATATCAGAGTTTTAATTGAAATCAACTACAGAAAGATCAGTCTAATGGACTTTCATATTGCTGAGGGATTGTTTCCTCTCACTCTGCACAGTTATGCCCACATGTGCCCACATACACATTCAGACATTCGCAATATTTGTTATATACTTTTAATGAGTTGAGTCCATAAGCAGGGAGCATGCATCAGGCTCATAGGTAATGAGTAATGGAAACTGAGGGAATGACCAGCAATATGGTCATATGGTTTGAAAATAAACTACATTAAATTAATCTGCTTTTTCTAAAAATCAGAACAACAGAATTAGGCCCTGATGATGCTTAAAATTTCAGGGATGTTAACATGTCTTGTTCCATAAATCCATTCAAAGCACAGTCTAAAGATTTTTCTTCAGAGGAAGGTTGCAATGCCATAGCGTACACTGGGTTAACTATACTATTAAAGCTGAACTGGAAGGATGAGACCGCATAACTTAAAGCCCCTCTGCTTGCCAAGTACTGCTTAGGCAGAGCAGATCATTGAACGGACGTAAGTACCCTGGGTGAGTGTTCATTACGACATGGAAGAGCCAAGTTTTAACAGCGGTACTTTTCCAGGATCTGTACCTTTGTTAGGCACAAAAAAGGATGCACACAATTTATTCAAATTGGCTTGGTTTTGAGCACCTCCGTCATTTGAAAAATTACCAGATTTAAAAGCAATGGCAAGAGGCAATGTAGAAGGGAGATATTAATTGTCAGAAGAATTGGTGTTCCTGTCAATTTTACAAAGAATAAAAACACAGAATAATTTAGGTTGGAAGAAACCTTGGAAGGGCATCTGGTCCATGCCTCTGCTCAGAACAAGTCTTACTGCAAAGTTAGATCCAACTTTGAGGTTAGATGAAGTCTCTCAGGTTCTTGACTAGTGGAGTTTTGAGTGTCTACCACCAGGGATATTTCACCATCTCTTCCACTGTTTCACTAACCTCATTGTGCAAATTTCCTTCTATCTAGATGGAATTTCCTTCACTGTCACTTGTGTCCATTACCTCTCATACTGTAACTGCACACCTCCAAAAAGAGTCTGGCACTGTCTTCTGCACAGTCCCCCATTAGTAGTCGAAGACGGTATCTAGGCTCCCCTTCAGCTGTCTCTTTTTCAGACTCCAAACAAGCTCTCCAAGCCTCTCTTCATGTGTCACATGCTCCAGTCTCCTAATCATCTTTTTCATCCTCCACTGGACTCCCTCTAGTTTATCAATGACTTTTTTTGTACTGAAGAGCCATACTGGACACAATACTCCAGAGGCAGTGTCTTGAGTGCAGGAGAGAGGGAAAAAATTGCTCCCCTCAAACTGCTTCCTACACACTTACTAACAAAGTCCAGTACACAGCTAGCCTTCATTAAGACAAGAGCACATTATGACTCCTGTTCAACTCGTTTCCTAGGCCCCTTAAGTCCTTTTCTTCAAAGCTGCTTTCTCTCCAGTCATCACCCAGTCTGCACTGTTGCAAGGTGTTGATCTGTTACCAGTTGCAGGGCTTTTCATTTGCTTTGTTGACCTTCCAGAAGTTTCAGCTGGCACACTTCTCCAGCATGCTGAGATCTGGATTCATAATTTTTAATAGACGTCTAACGCCTGGTTAAATGATACTGAGAAAAATCAGCAGCGGATCAGTGACCACTAGTGATAATGTCACAACATGTCAAAAAGTCACTGTGCTAGTCATTTGTCACTGCCCCCTCAGATCTCAATCTCACCTACTGCATTTAGACACAGCAGCTGATTATGTGTTACATGGTTTGTCTATTGTAAAGTCCGGCAGTGGCATGAGCAAAGCAAATTTGCAAATTTTGCATCAGCACAGACCTGATTATACACCTACAGGTGAGACTGGATGAATAAGTGTCAGTCGAGGCAATATTGGTCAAAGACGCGTTACCTCCTAAAGCCACTCTACAATGACCACATAATCAAGTTTTTTTAAGAGGATCCATTAGGAGCTGAAGCAGTCCTGAGGATGGATGCCTTTAAAGGGAATCAGGAACTGTGAACAGTAGTGATGGTAAAGCAGCAAAGATCTTGCCATCAAAGATGGAAATGCATTGCTTAGCTCATTCAATTGTGTTCATTCACAGAGAAAACAATTTTCTTTTTTCAAAAACAGGGTGAAAATGAGATTTAGACTCCCAAGTCATCTCGGTATTTTAATTTTAATTCAACAAAAGCAAAAATTAACCATCAAAATTTATGGGGTTGTGCTGCAATGTTCTGAAGAGAAATGGAAATTGAAATTGGATCATTTCAACTGAAATGATCATCTAAACATATTTTAAGCAACAGTAGATAAATCAGAAAGCATAACATAGTAAAAAACTCACATTGGCTTGCACACAGACATCAGCCTTGAAGGCCCAGATAATAAGCCTTTTGCAGGTTTCAGCTATGATCATGTGTTTTTTCTGCTACCACATCAGTTATCTGATAACAAAAATGTTTTATGTCATACAGACCCTGAGTCTCTGCTACTTCACTGAAGTTATGTTGATATTATTAAAGTCCATGGGAGTTGACCACTTGCAATGCTATAATGCGGTAAAAAAATCAAGCAGACTTTGGGGGTTTTTTTGGGGGGTGGGGGTTTTTTTTGTTGTTTTTGGTGGGTTTGGGGGATTTGGTTTTGGTTTTGTTTGGGGTGTACTTTGTTTTGGCTTTTTTTTGTTGTTGTTTTGGGGGGGGGAGGTTGTTGGCTTTTTGGGGTTGGGTTTTTGTGGTTGTTTTTTTTTTTTTTATTAAACCAAGCCTAAAAAATCCTGCCCTAAATAGCCTGAAAGTGCAGCTCAGTTAAGGACAATAAAAACTCCAGCACCCAGATGAAGTAGCTTCTGAGGTTAAAACCCAGGATCTATCATTTGCATCATAATGGGATGGGCTGTTTTGCACAACAAAGAAAAAGTCATAAAGTTGACAGAACTATTAGCCCCTTTTGAATAGATTACAAACCCCACCATTAGCATGCAAATAAATATTTTCTAGAAGCCTTCATGGTGTGAGAAACACTTCACAGTGGAACCATAGGGACGCTATAATTCTGCTCTGGTGCTGAGCCACTTTGAGGTAGTTTCTATATCACCTGCACGGCTCTAGTGTCACCTGTTACAGGTAAGATCTTGGACTGGCTTCTGCATAAGGCTGCAATTCTGCACCTTCATTTCAAAACATGATTACCCTGACAGAGATGTTTGATTTTGATAACTAGATATTATTTACCTATCATTTTTGTGCATTGTACCCTACACTTTAGAATCGGGACTTCAAAATGGCCCAAAGACATAAAATTACTATAGCTGTACTGAATAACAATGAGGTGTACCAGCTCCCAGCAGCTGCAGAAAGACTATTCTGCAGGTGGAGGAGTAAAACATAGTAGTAGACAGCTGAATTGCCTGTCCATCAAAGGATGAGTTGTATTGTAACATTGCCCCTCTAAACACCCACACTGGGTGGCACAGAGGTAACCAAGCACAAAATTCTCATTGTTTCTCTTCTCTATCTCATACGCACAGCCGTGGGACAGGAGGCCAGAAAAGGCCTGACCTATGCTAACCTTCATATTTGAGCCAGCTCTCCTATTTGAAACCACTAGTTTACCACTGCTCTGAACCACCAGGAGGGGAGGAACTGCAAATGCCCAAGGTAGGATGATTTCCTCCTGGCACCATTCCCTTCCACAGTAGTTCACCCACCTCCCCTTTCATGGGGGAAGGGATGTAAAAAACCAACCACCCAAACAAACAAACAAAAAAACCCCTTTCTTCGCCGTCAGTAGACACACTTTCAATGCTTTCAGGGAAAATCCTGCCTTTGATTCTGAATATAGAGCTCTTGCCAAAAAAAGCAACTAAAGTTAACACATTCCAGCACAGGCTGTAGTCAGCTCTTGAATGTTTTAGATTTCAAATGAGCGAGTCCAATGCGTAAGACTGAGCCAGGTTCAGGAGCCGGGACACTGGAGTGCTCGATCTGCAGCGTACCAGCAGCGATAGGCGTTTCTCCAACTCTTGACTTTGAGGGGGTGTTGCTACCAAGGAGGAGATCGTTAAGTTCATTTTCCATACCCCTATCGCTTCCCTTCTGTTCGGGGATGTTGTTGTTGTTAAGTCAAAGAAGGGTGCCAGCCGTAATGAAGGGTGGTGAGCTGTGGACACCTGCTCTCTTGGAAGCAGATCAAAACCACCACTTCATTCACACAGGCCACTAAAGAGCCACCTAATGGCAATGTCTTTCAGTCACCACTGATCTGAATTCACAATAATGTCCTAAAGTGAAAAGACTCCATATCTCCCCTGTTAGTCCTCTAAGCCCATCGGCTACCTCTCCCTCCATCCAAGTGTCTATCTTAAACTTATTTTGGATATTGGATTTGGATATGAAATGCTGGAAGCCAACATGTTTATTACTACCTAGATGTAGGTAGCGCAGATTCTAACACTGACTGTGACAGATTATTAAATAAGCTATATGTTGGCAGGAATCTCTAGTGACAACATTTTTGGTTATTAACAGTTGGATACTTCTATCCTCAAAAATTTGAAACATTTCTTGTTGTAGTTGTTTTCAAATGTTCTGAAAAAAATCTGCTATGTATTGCGGTCACGCAGACAGGAGTGGCATTTCAGTTCTCAATATCAAATATATCTGTGCATTAGTACTATGAAAATAATTCAAAATTAATGCTTTTTGCACTCAGATGCTGCAGACAAGACACAGAATCTTCCAAAAATATACATACAGATATTAAGCATCATTAGAATTTCACGTAAGTCTCAGAAAATTAAGTCTGTAAGCAAAAAGCAATATAGTTAATACTATATTTTTCTGTCTCTATGTTTAATAATATAATGCAAAAACCTATCACATTTTCTCATATTTCCCAGGGGAGTATATGCCCTGATTGTAAATGTCTAAGCTATTGCATTTTATTTTGTTTTTCGCACTGAGCAAACAGAGACAAAACTGGTCTTCAAGGCAGCATAATTTTTCCCTAAGGGGTAAGAATTCTTACCTAAAATGCACTTTAAAGAAGTTTGCTACCTGTGTAACTCATTGGGCCAAACACTTCATAGATGTCTTCATCTTCAAATCAACTTCAACTGGAATATTTTTAACTGAATTATAACAAATAATACCAGCTAGGAAGGAGGCTTCTGCCAGAAATACAAGAGTATTCTGTCACGGTGGTGAAAATGGAGGTACAGCTTAGTCTTAGCTTTTGCTGAATAACCAAGAATTCTAAGTCCCCCCAAAATCAAAACAAATAGAGGAACTCTGTTGGCAACTATATTAGACTGGTATTATAAAAGTAAACACAGAGACTCCATGGACTAAACCCACTGTTATTTCCATGCCATAGCAGAGAAGAGCAGTTTTGTCTCCAAAGATTCTTCTGGCATTGTTTGAAAACTGATATTTATATGTTTGTACAAAGAGTTGGGGTGTAAATTGCCTGTTTAACAAAATATATTACACCTCCTGATAAGTAAAACATCCCATTTTTTTATTTTTTTAATTACATGCAGTCCCACCTCTTTTTCAGCCTTGAGGAAGGTGGAAAAAAAAAAACCAAACAAAATCCCCAACCATACCTGTTCTCTTGGGCACACCGAATTCTGCAGCCTTCCTTAGGTATCACCAAGCCCAAATGCATCCTTAGCCGACAATTGGTGGGCCCTGTGTGGGGCCAGACATGAGTCCCTGGGTGCATGATAGAATATTTGATCTGCAAGAAGAGAAAGGCAGGCCTTCAACACGTTCAGCTTCACAACATACTGCTAGGAGTTCAGGACTTCATTATGTCTCATCCTTGATGATGGGCCAAAAGTGCAATGTCACCTTTTGTTAGAGTCTCAGCAACAATTGCACTTTCTCACGTCCTAAAGGTGTTCAGTGCTACAAAAAACATGTCTTGGGGGGGGGGGGGGGTGCATCCAGGGGTGGGTGTGTATAAAAATGCATATTTTTCATTTTGTTTAAAATAATCAGTATTCATGTTTCAACCTGAAAATCATTATCTCCTATCTACAATCAGAAAAATACCTTCTTGCCTATGGAAAGACTTAAAGACACTCTTATCATTTGAAAGGCTGGACCACAGGAGACCCAAGGCTGTGTTAGCCAGACTGACCGGCCCCTCTCAGATGACAACTGGGTTGTGAAGGTCACTGTCAGCTGTGGCTGGAGCAATCATGAGATGGTGGAGTTCAGAATCATGAGAGGAGGGAAGAAGGCAAAAAGTAGGATCATTACCCACAGCTTCAGGAGAGAAGACTTGGGCTTATTCAGGGATCTGCTGGGAAAAATCCCATGAGATACGGTGCTGGAGAGAAGAGGGTTCTAGGACAGCTGGTTAATTTTTAAGGATCACCTCGTCCAAGCTAAAGAATGGTTCATCCCCATGTGCAGGAAGCATGGAGACCCAGACAAAACTGAAACACAAAAAGGAAGCATACAAGAGGTGGAAGCAGGGTCAGGTCACCCAGGAAGACTGTAGAGACACTCTCTGAGCATGCAGGGATGAGGTTAGGAAAGTCAAAGCTCTCCTGGTGTTGAATCTGGAGATGGAAGTGAAGGGCAACATGAAAGATTTCTACAGATACATCAGCAGTAAGAGGAAGTCTAGGGAAAACATGAGCCTGCTGCTAAATGTGGCAGGAGATCTGATGATAAAGGACATGGAGAAGGCTAAGGCACTACATGCCGTCTTTGCCTCAATCTTTACTGGTATGACTGACCTTCAGGAATCCCAGGCACCTGAGACTAGTGGAAAAGACTGGAGCAAAGAAGACTTACCCTCAGTGGAGCAGGATCAAGTTAGGGAACATTTAAACAAACTCAACAAACTGGTCCATGAGTCCTGATGGGATCCACCCATAAGTGCTGAGGGAGTTGGATGATGTTGTGAATCCACACTCAATAATCTTTGAATGGTCATGGCAATCAGTAGAAGTCCTTGAGGACCGGAAGAAAGCAAACGTTCATATCTTCAAGAAGAGCAAAGAGGAGGATCTGAGAAACTACAGGTCAGTCAGCCTCATCTCGATCCCTGGGAAGGTGATGAAGCAAATAATCCTGGAAACCATTTCCAAACACATGAAGGAAAAGAAGGTAACTGGGAGCAGTCAGCATGGATTTATGAAGGGGAAATAGTACTTAACCAGCTTTCTACGGTGAGATGTCTAGCTTGGTGGATGAGGGAAGATTAGTGGATGTTGTTTATCTCACTTCAGTATGACTTTCAACACTGTCTCCCATAAACATCCTCATTGACAAACTGATGAAATAGAAACTAGGTAAGTTGACAGTGAGGTGGATTGAAAACTGGCAGTTCAGCCAGGCTCAAGAGTTGTGATCAGACGCACAAACTCCAGCTGAAGGCCACTAATCAGAGATATACCCCAGGGCTCAATTCTGGGTCCAACACTGTTTAATAGCTTCCAGAGCTCAATACTGCTTCCAACACTGTTTAATAGCTTCATAAATGACTCAGATGAT